AGGTAGTGCTGTAAGGAGCAAACATCTCTATATAGAGATAATACTGTTGATCCCTACGACCTGTGGGACCTAATCAGAAGGTTGTTCATACTTCTAGCAAGTCAGCAGAGCCTCTGAAATGGGATTCCAGTCTGCCTTGTAGGGCATGAAGTACTGTGGGAGGGAAAGAAGCTCCACTTGAGCTTTTCCTGCTTGAGCCCTGGAGGGGAGCTGTTATGCAAGCTGGGCAATGCAGCAGGGTTAAGTGACCTCTTCTGGGCAGGAGCTTTCAACAGCCATATTGGGTGGGCCTGGTGGCCTTGTTCTGCCTGCTAAGCACTTAATCCCCTCCTGTCCAGTGTACTCTGCTTAGCATCCATGATGCAGTTTTAAATGTTCCTAGCTTTTTCCCTCTCCTGTTTAATCCCTGTAATGCTGCAGCCAGTCAGTTCATTTCCCGTGTCTGCTGGAGCTGGCACACTGCATGGGAAGGAGATGGGTAGGTGTTGCTGGTGGCTGGGCTCCCTGAGCAGCTGGGTCTAACTCCTTCCCTGCTATCAACTGCTGCTTTTCTACCTTCCTGTGAAAAGGGGTGCCTAACAAAATGGTTTGGATATAAACTATAGCTTTAAATAAAAGGCTTAAATAACTGTTAAAGATATCTGCCTTGGGCCTTCACCAACTGAGTTCTGTATAAATGCACTGTAGGAGTGAATTCATTGAAATACCTGCTCTAATAGCAGGTGCTCATAAGGTGCTATAGTACGCTCTGGCATACAGCATTTACTGTAAGACTGTGCGCAGGACTCTGTGTGCCATTTATCCATATGCTTTTATTGCTATTTTGGGACAAGCTGGCTCAATCATTTCTGCACCAGCTGGAACTATATCCTAGTGAGCAGCATCCCCAGGCATGTCTGTTGCCTGGAAGTAGTATCTTAAAGCTAGAGTATCTGTGCAATTGCAGAGTCTCCACTTCCCCATATTTTTAAGCGTCTAAATGCCACCTCTGCTCCTCATGAACTCTGTGTTGCTCCATTCTCCCTTGTAGAGAAGGAAGATGCCATTTTCCCTTGAATGGAGGATGGAACAGCTTCCCCAAAATAAAAGCACTCCTGTTTCAGAATTGACAGCAGTATGTCCCCTGTCAGTGTTTTAGTTTCTCAAAACAGTGCTTCCTTCTGATAATGGCCTCTTTTACACAAAAGGGGACCTAGCCAGTCCTTCTTAGGAGTGGGCTGTGCAGAGAGGTGCATGGGTAATATTTTGCAAGGGGATAGGTCTGTGCTGCCTATTGCAGCTGTGATGAATGAGCTGCCTTGTTAGAGGTGAAGCTGTGTGTCCCAGAGCCCAGGACACTATGCAAAGCAGGTCTTTTACCACATTGAGGTCACTGCTGCTTGCTTTTTATCCAGCCTTGGCTATAATGACTGAAACTTTGCGCACCCAATATTTAGATATGTGAAATTCGTCTGGCCTTTTTTTGTTCTCGCTCTGTTGCTCCTTTGGCCTTGACTAGAGTCATAAAATCATTAAGGTTGGAAAAGACCTCTAAGATCATCAAGTCCAACTGTCAACCCAACACCACCACGCCCACTAAACCATGTCCCTAAGCGCCTCATCTATGTATCTTAAATACTTCCAGGGATGGTGACTCAACCATTTCCCTGGGCAGCCTGAAAGACTACTACTCTATTCCTTCAGTAAAGAAATCTTTCCTCACATCCAAAAGACTACTACTCTTCTTGGTTGTTTTGTGGGGGCACTCAACTGAATTCTTAACAAATACAGCTCCAAATACTTCAATGCTGATGGCTACTCTTAACCAAATACTCAGCTATACTGCAGTATCATCTGTAGCTCAATACTGCACCTGCACAGCTTGCAAGGTATGTGCTAGCCTGAAAAGGGCCCAGCACCAGGGCCTCTGTGCTGGTTGGCAGCAAGTAGAAAACGTGCTGGCAAGACTAATGGCTAGCAAGAGAGAGTATGAGGCTCGCCTTATGGGAATGCTGGGGCATGTGGCAAGTCTTCATGTCTTTACCCTACAAGTGCAAAGTGAGTGCAAGAGTAAATGGATGCTTAACTAGATGCTTAACCAGTGTGCCAGGCAGGTAACTTCCATTTCATCAGAGCTGGATGGATACAGAAACAAAATTAAAGCAGTGTCAGATTGGGCATGTACTTGCTTGACTAGCTAAATCATGGCAATTAGCAAGAATGATTGCTATTGTGTCACAGGATTGGCAAGCCCTTCTGCTTTTAATGAAGACACTTGGGTAAAATTTGTTCTAGTTGTTTGTGGTCAATCTCTCAATCTGTAGGCAAGCCTTAAGCTAGATGAACTCCTTCTATACCAGTGGAGGAATTCCCTCCATACACACCAGTGTATACTGGTGGTGGCTGAAAGTGCTGAGACTTGGAACAGAGGTAGCTTGCAGCTGGTCCCTACCACAGCCAGAAACAGATGGTGTGGCAGGAAACTTGCAAGTTCAGTGTGTTTGTCAGCAGTTTGACTGTATCACTGTGTGTGTCCAGCAGAAGGCAGCACCTAATGCTCAAAGGTAGACACTTGAAGAGAATCACTTAAGAGTGGACTGCTGTGCTGTTAGGTTAATAAAAGGCTTTAGTTGCCTTTTATATAAAAGGCATCGTTGACCTAAAAGTCACATACTCCAGATCACAATGTCTGCTTGTGTGCACAATGCTTAGGGATCATGCTCAGTGTCTAGCATACACCTCCAACTTGTCCACACTACTGTTGGAAGATTTGCAGGATGGAGAACTAAAACATGGTTCTGTGTATTTACTTTTTTCCAAAGTCATATTTCACTAATGTACTGTAAGCAGTGTATTTGATTAGAATCATAGAATCATTTAGGTTGGAAAAGACCTTTAAGATCATCGAGCCCAACTGTTAACCTAGCACTGCCAAGTCCACCACTAAATCATGTCCCTAAGCACCATGTCTCCACTGCTTTTTAATACCTCCAGGGATGGTGACTCAACCACTTCCCTGGGCAGCTTGTTCCAATGTTTAACCACTCTTTCAGTAAAGAAATTTTTCCTCATGTCCAATCTAAACCTCCCCTGGTGCAACTTGAGGCCATTTCCTCTTGTCCTATTGCTAGTTACTTGGGAGGAGAGACCGACACCCACCTCACTACAACCTCCTTTCAGGTAGTTGTAGAGAGCGATGAGGTCTCCCCTCAGCCTCCTTTTCTCCAGGCTAAACAGTCCCACTTCCCTCAGCCGCTCCTCACAGGACTTGTGCTCTAGACCCTTCACCAGCTTCATTGCTTTTCGTTGGACACAAAGTGCCTAAATAAGGAGATTCTTCTGTACCTTTTGAGGATTGTAGCATTTAAAAACTTACTACAGGAAGACATGTCAGTAAGATGGAACTGCACCACAGCCTTTCCATTCCAGAGAATGGCACTAAGTAATGAAATGG